AACCAGAATACAAAAATGTGAGTTGTTACAAGTCTAAAAAGATACAATGTAAGATTACGGGAGGGGGGGCCAAGCCAGGGGAGAGAAAGAAGGGATGGGGGCTATGGAATACCAGCGTTCGGTAGTTGAGATGAGAGAAGGGTGACAAAGGTTCTGGAAGAAGAGGGAGTAGGGGAGGGGATAAAGACGAGGATGTTGATGACGATGGAAACGACTCTGATGAGAGTAATGGTTAGTATATGCTGTACAAGAAAGAAAGGAAGGGGGTGTGTATATGAGATGACGAGCTTGGGCCTTATTTTTGGTGTAATTGAATACCAGTTTACAAGTGGAGTTTTGATGGTATTGTTGTTGGTTTGAAGCTGCCATGTGGAATAGGGTGAAAAAATCGTGAGTTTTGCGTGGCAAGTAATTAATTGTTTTTTTTTTGTGTTTATTCCGAGAGTGAGCTTCTTCTGTTGTTTCGTGCATTCTACTTTCTGCTCTCAATGCTGGTTGTTTTGATTGTTGGTTGCGTTACAATCACAAGCAACCCGTCCCCCAAGGTTTTTTCATTTCATTATTTCTTTTTGTAGAAAAGGATCCTAAAAAAAAAAAATGGCCTGATTTTTCTCGTTTTTGGATTCACTCGTTTATGCCCCCCTGCAGGATTTTTTTTTTTTTTTTTTCCCCTGGTGTCGGAAGGATCCCGTTAGGATTGCCTATACCGAATACAACGCTGTTAAGCCTCCCAACGTCCTGGTCTCTGGGGAGGGGATGTGCCCAAAAATGGACGAACGAACAAGGGAGGGGGGCCCAGTATGTAGATACAGGTACGAGGAAGGATTCGCTACCTTAGTTTACACAGTATACAGTAGGGATACTGCAGTATGTAGTACGTATTATGCAAGATACAAAAGACGGGAAAACCCCCTGGAATCTTTCTCTTGCCGTTTACCAGATTAAGCCTCGTTGCCGATTTTGCTTTTGTGTTTTTTTCCCTTTTCTTGTGTGTACCTTTTTTTGGTTTGGCACGTCTCCTGCTCCCCGGATTGGGTTTGACGTCCGGGAAAAGCGGGTTACGAATCGGGTATCGCACCGAGGCCCGTTCCAGAAAATGCTTGGCTTTGGGTGTTGTGTGTGTGTGTGTGTGTGTGTGTGTGTGTGTACTGTCTTTTTGGAGAGATCACTTTTATGGTTGGTATAATAGCTGGGCGGGAAGCATCACTACTGGTAGACAATGTAAAGATTGTGTCTCAAATTTAATATACTATATTATCGAAGAATCGAGGTGGTATCTAGAAGAGTACTTAAAAGTACACTGCTTGAGCCTCTTCCCCTTTATCCGTGTCAGTACAGCCAGCTGACAGGCCTTGGCACGGAACAAAGAATCTTTCCGAGTCTATATTTGGACGCATTATGTAAAAAAAAAAAAACCCCCCAAGCCTTTGTTGTCCTCTTCTTTTCTCATTTACGGGCTGAAAAGAGAGGTCTGAGTGGCAGACGGGACTAACACATAGTACGTTGCGTGTATGCAGGTTCATTACTACCCACTGCCCTTTTTTGGCATTGTCCCCTTTGGTCTTCTTTTTTCCCATTTCATACCTCAATGCTTACTATTAGTAGACATCTAACGCGGTATTGGCATCTTTGGCTGCGTGTCAGATGAGATGCTACCTCCATATATCTATACTACCGCTGTCACTTCTCGTAACACGGTCAAGATCAAGACCAAACCAAGAGAAGTGAAAAGAAAACTTTGCTTCATGAGACATTTGCTAACACCTAGACTACAAGTATACAAAATCTGAAATATACCACGTAGTAAACAGCGTCAATGCTTCCGTACATCCAAGCGGTGACATAGACACCAGCCTAGAGTCCAAAAGGTACAGTTACATGCTTCACTCAATACCGCCTTTACGCCCGTCCAAGTAGGTGGAGCGCGAGATTAAAAAGTGACAGCTCGGGGTCCAACTTCAGCTACATAATACAATACCTAGTACTTTTTCATCTTTATTTTTCTTTTCTTTTTCACCATGTTTCCTCTCGTTATCCATCTCTCTCTCCGTATTAGGCATGCCTAGTCGGTTGTCAATTTTGCACTTCCCCCCCCTGCGAACCAAAAAATTCCCAAAATAATCAAATCTAAGCCCAATCTCGGTCTGACAGTGCAACGCACGCCCTCGGCCCTGAGCCCATTTAAATCGGGGCCCGCTAAAGAACAAAAGAAGCAAACACCAACTGTATCTGGAAGAGGCAAGGTGTTCTTTCTTTGGCCCACGCCTAGCTCCGAGAGCTCTCCATTGGGTTACGGCGTACTTGTAGGTACTAGAAGGAACCTTGGAAAGCTTCAACTTTCTAGCAACTCCCATGCTAGTAGGTTAGTGGTTAGCGGTCTCTTATAGAGCTCAGCTTGTATCCAATTTTCGGGCCTCTGTACCAGCAAAAAA